CCTGACTCTTTTCATTGTATTCTGTTCTTTTTTGAAAAGGATTTCCTCTTGTCTGGATAATCACCAAGTTGCAACTTGTTTCTCTGTTTTTTTTCTCGTCACAAAAATTTTTCTCCTTCTTCCCTCTTTTTTCAATTCCTTCCATACCCTTTGAATATAGCGCGGGGGGGTGGGTGGCTTCTTTCCCCCCCCCCATTTTTGGAGGGGGTTTACTTATTTCTTTTATGTTGGCGGTTATTGGACTTTGGGTGAAAAGGTTTCACCTAGGGAGAGAGAGAGAGAGAGAGAGAGAGAGAGAGAGAGAGAGAGAGAGAGAGAGAGAGAGAGAGAGAGAGAGAGAGAGAGAGAGAGAGAGAGAAAAAGAGAGAGAGAGAGAGAGACAAAGACAGAGACAGAGACAGAGACAGACACAGACAGACAGATAGACAGACAGACAGACAGACAGATGAGTGGGGGGTGACAATGTTGTCTGTCTATCTATCTTTCTATCAATCCATCCATCCATCCACCCATCCATCCATCCATCCATCTACCCACAGACCAGAGCACCACCACAAGCCCCGCCCCCGAGCCGACCACGCCCCCTCTCCCCGAGCCGTGCCACACCCAGAGCACTGATTGGTCGCCCTGCTCCGTCAGCTGTGATGTGGGCGTGGCCGTGAGGATCGTCGTGGACTCGGTCACGTGCATGCACGTGCAGGAGAGGAAATTGTGCTACCTCAGGCCTTGTGGCCTCAATCTGACTACACACGTGAGTGATAGATAGATAGATAGATAGATAGATAGATAGATAGATAGATAGATAGATAGATAGATAGATAGATAGATAGATAGATAGATAGATAGATAGATAGATAGATAAATGGGTGGATGGATGGATGGATGGATGGATAGATGGATGGTAGACAAGTAGATGGATGGATGGATAATAGATAGACAGATGGATGGATGGATGGATGGATGGATGGATGGATGGATGGATGGATGGATGGATGGATGGATGGATGGATGGATGGATGGATGGGTTGACGGATGGATGGGTGGATGGATGGATGGATAGATGGCTGGATAGATGGCTGGATGGATGGCTGGATGGATACATGGATGGATACATGGGCAGATAGATAGACAGATAAGTAGATAGATAGTTGGATAGATAGATAGATAGATAGATAGATAGATAGATAGATAGATAGATAGATAGATAACCAAAGCATTGTGTCATGTTCTGTCCATTGACTGCAAGACAAGACAAGGAAGGAAGAACAAACAATCATATTGTTTGAATTATTTGTCGTCTCCTCCACCTTTTCAACTTGTGAAGTGAATTTTAACAGATCTGCTTTTCCAAGAGACAGATCCAGGGGAAGCTACTGCTTGTTTCTGAAATCTTTATTCTGATCCTGTGGTTGTTTCCCCTGCTCTGCAGACCGAGAAAGATCTTGTTACCATACCAGCTAGTATAATCGTATTTGAGCACGCTATCAGCTCCATTCAGTGTATGCTTCTTCGGAAGACTAGAATGTTTTTGAGTGTTCTAAGGTCTGATGGGGTAGTAATGGTGATTGTAAAACGTATAGATCTTGCTATTTAGCGGGGATATACGCTATGCTAATGCTATTTATCATTGTTTTATCTTACCATAATCTCATCACGCCAATCTCGCCTCTTCTCATCTCATCTTATCTTGTCTCATCTCATCTTTATCTTACCTTACCTCACCTCATCTCATCTCATCTCATCTCATCACACCTCACCTCATTTCATATCATCTTGTCGGTGGCCTAGTATTGTTGAACGAGGATTTGCGCTGTACAAATGCTATCTATTATTATTATTATTATTATCAACATTATTATTATTATTATTATTATTATTATTATTATTATTATTATTATTATTATTATTATTACTATTATTATTATTATTGTTATATTATTATTTATTATTATTGTTATTTTATTATTATTATTATAATTTCTATTTTTTAAATTCTTATTCTTATACTCTTTCTTATTCTTATTCTTATCATTCTGACTATTATTTTTTATTATTGTTATTATCTCATCTAATCTCATCTCCCCCCCCCCCCTCCCAGGGCCGTGACAAGTGCACCCCGACCACGCGCACCAAGTCACGTGAGCACATCCAGCACCAGGACTGTCTGTCTGTGCGTGAGTACAAGCTCAAGTTCTGCACCACGTGCAGGGAGGACGCCTGCTGCTACCCAAAGAAGACTCGAACCTCGACCATGGAGTTTCAGGTGAGTGGGGCGAGAGGGGGGGTGGTGGTGACAGTAGCCTACCCCCGGAGGAGAGGGGTAGGGTAGGGAGGTTGGGGGGGGGGGTGGGGGTGAGACTTAAATTCGACCATGAAATTTCAGGTGAGTGGGGCGAGAGGGGGGGGGGGGATAGTGACAGTAAGCCTACTCTTCGAGGGAGAAAGGTAGGATAAGTGAGCTTTGTGTGGGGTGCAGGGAGTGAGACTTAAATTTCACCATGAAAATTCAGGTGAGTGTGGGTGTAGAAGATAGGTGTAAGTACCCTGAAGGAATGAGAGGGCTGGGAAGGGGGGGGGGGGGAGACTTAAACATCAACCATGGCGTTTTAGGTGAGATGTAAGAAAATTGTGTCAGTGTCGGGGAATGGTGATGGGTTTGGTGGAGGTGACTTGAACCACAGCCTTGGAGTTTCAGTTGAGGTTAACGTCAGTGTTTTGTTTTGTTTGTTTGTTGTTGTTTGTTGTTTGTTTGTTTTTTGTTTGGGGGGGTTGTTGGGTTTGTTTTTGTTGGTTTGTTTGTTTTTGTCTATTGTTTTGTTTGGATTTTGGTTGGGGTGGGTTTTTTTGGGGTGGTGGTGGTCTTTTTTTGGAAGAATCAGAATATTAATTAGGAAACAAAAAAAGACGAACA